TTTGTATTTCCTTTCTCATTTCCTAGCTGCTTACAGAGATGTTTGCATTCGTGACTCATTTTGTTGTCTTATATTAACCTTTAAGTTTAGCTGCTCTGCTAAACATGTTCATGTGGGAATTGAGGTTACCTGCCACAGCTAAATCTATGGGACTCAAAGGATCCTGTGAAATAAGGCAGTAACGGAGATGTGACATTTTTCTAGAGAGTAATGGGGAAAACTGACTCATTGAGATTGTATGGCTGGAGTTACTAACGTAAGTGTGTTAAAGTTATGAACGATCAGTTGGTCAAAAAGGATCAAATGGTTAAGCACTGACCAGGAGTAATGAATTTTTGTTTCTATTTCTGGCTTTGCCAGTTACTTGCTTGTGTGACCTTGGTCATGTTACTCAATCTCTTTGTGCCTTGGATTCCTCCTCTGTTAAATGGGATTTATCATACCTGCTTCACAGGGGTATAGTTAGGCTTTTCTCATTAATGAGCTGTATCGTTTAGTTTTTCTTCAAGCAAAACCCTTACTTTTTTCAATAGCAGTGTTCATTGTGCAAGGACTCACAGTTTGGGACCCTATTGTAAAACATGTTCTGACCATCCAATGGACGTCATTTCACATTTGAAAGCATTACCTTAATGTTTGTCTTGGACTCCCAGGCCAGAAGGCACCATCGTGATTGTCCAGTGTGATCTTCTCTATAACAGAGGCCACAAAACTTCCTGTGGTGTTGTTTTTTTTTTTTTTTTTTTTGCAGAGCTCTGACTGAAGAGGTGGCCATGATTTCTTCCTGCACTTGTTTTGCTCTCGTGGTCGTGTTATATCTGTGACGCATTCTGTTTTGATGGTTATGAGGGGTTCTTTGCTTTGCGGAGTGGAATGGTGAGGGTTAGAACGCAGTTGTATAGAGAGGTACGTATAACATTGGTAGAAGAATGTGTAACCCTAACCAAAGCAGTAATGGTATCGGCATCTGTCATTTTCACCCATTGTAAGCAGCAAAGGAATCCAAATGGAGGCAACAGCACAGATAGCCATTTTGACGCTTGCTGAGTAGATTGCAAGCCTGCAGTGCTGCTGCTGTTAATTTCCATGTTGTATAAATACAGCATTGGTCTCTGTGTCAGAAGCTTTGCTGATGCTGTGAGAAGGTTAACTTCTTTCAGCAAATGTGTTTGTTGTTATTATTTGGAGAAATCTGGTAAAAACATACAAATGCTAGATTTTTGTCCTCTTCCCAACTCACTTGCTGAGTAGATTGCAAGCCTGCAGTGCTGCTGCTGTTAATTTCCATGTTGTATAAATACAGCATTGGTCTCTGTGTCAGAAGCTTTGCTGATGCTGTGAGAAGGTTAACTTCTTTCAGCAAATGTGTTTGTTGTTATTATTTGGAGAAATCTGGTAAAAACATACAAATGCTAGATTTTTGTCCTCTTCCCAACTCACAAGTTCAAATTATAGAAATGAGGCCATAATTTCAAAAATATTATTACTAATAATAATTTGTGTTGCAGTAGCACCTAGGCCCCCAAACCACAGAGAAAACCAGATCTTGTCTTAGGGTTTTTTGAACTCTGTGCATAGTGTTCTCTTGTAGTTTTTATGGGTGTGGCTGGGAATTACCAGTCTTTAGTGCTGGGGGTTGGGACATATGCTGCATTGGTTAGCGATGGCTGATACTTATGCATGGAGATGTGCCTGATTACAGAATTTCTCTATAAAATGCCAAATCTGAGTTGCATTGATGCCCTGATTTATAGAGGGCAAAACATATTCTGTTGTTTCTCTTGACCTTTCTCCTCACTA